GGGGGTGTACTCATAGTCGTGCATGCCGTAGTCGTTAGACCATTGACCTCGGGGGGTGGTATCTAACGTAGTTGTGAAACCCAGTGTTAACTGCATAGTTTGTGCATGGCCATACTAGTCTTCAAAGGAGAGGGGAAGGTGGATGGCATCTAACCTAGCTGTGAAACCCAGTGTTGAATACGTAGATTGTGCATGGCCATACTAGTCTTGAGAGGCGCGTGGAAGGGGGATGGTATCTAACGTATTTAGTTGTGACACTCAGTGTTGACTACAAGGTTTATGCATGGCCATACTAGTCTTCAGAGGCGAGGGGAAGGGGGGTGGTATCTGACGTCGTTGTACAACCCAATGTTGACTACAAGGTTTATGCATGGCCATACTAACGCAGCTGTGTAACCCAATGTTTACAACGTAGGTTGTAACTTCCCAACTGTTCATCCTTTGAATTTTGATTACATTTTGCTCGCTTTCGAAACTGCCAACTTCTCAAGCAAGTGGTGGCGCGTACAGCTGAAATTGCGTCGTGAGCAACGTGAACAAGCTTTCAACTCCCGGTGGGAGAGATGGCGGGGGAGCATCGTGGCAACACCTCCGAAGAACGTGCACCTGTTGCTTTGTTCCAGAAGCTGCCCGGCTATGGCCTTGCACTGGTGTGCGAACTCTTCGGCCTTGTCCGTGTACTCCATCCCCTCCGGCGTCACTTCCCCGTCAAGCAGCACCGAGTACGCAATTTCCACCTTGCTAGCAACATCTGAGGAAGCGTTTCTGATTGGACGGCAACGGAGAACGATGATGGACAGTTCACAACAGGGAGGAACCATGGTTGAGCAGGTAACTTGATGGGTGACGCTTCACTTCATGGAGAAAACGTTTGGCAGTTCACTTCACCACCGGGATGACGGTTGACAGCTGACGTCAAGGAGATGATGGGTGGGGGAGGGGGGGGAGCGTACTCTTATGTTTCGCATGGCTTAGCGGTTAGACCATTGACCACGCGTCCTCGAGAGGACGGAGCACTGTTCGCACAGGACCAATCACCGAAGGCCAATCGTTCGGGGGAAGGTACTCAAAGCGCTGCTTGGACTTGTCTCGGTCCTGGAACGTTCCCGGAACTAGCGGCGAACACGGAAATCGCGTCGTTTGTCACTGTTCGTTCACGCCAACTGGGAGAGCGTGCACAAACTCGCTGCTGCTTGTAGCCTCTTCGGCCTTTTAGCAGCACCAACCATGCACCCCCCCCTCGAGCACTAGAGCACCGTACTCGCCAACTCTTGCTCCGTCTCTCTGGCTCCATATAAACCAATGGTTAGTCCTCCAAATCAAAGCATATGTGTGTCTAATTTCTCCATGAAAGCAAGGGTAGATGGTTATCATTGAGACTACTTATTGTTTGGTTTTGGGGAGAGTAAACAACATGTGTAAAATAAACACGCCGCTCGACAGTCCAATGACCTACCGGATAACGTCCGCAAGCAGTAAGCTCTTTTCCTCCTCGCCTATCCGCCCCATTTCCGCCAGCACCCTAACGGCGTCGACAGTCTTCCTCGTCAGGTCCCTCGAACCCTTCAACGCGGCCTCCCCGTCCCCATCACCCCCGGCCTTGCCCTCGCCGCCACCGAAGCTCGACCAGCCCTTGCCGCCATCGTCGCTGTCGCTGGTGGCGGCGTCTTGCCACTCGTGCCACTCCTTGGCAGTCTCGGAGCCTCCTCCTCCTCCTCCTCCTCCTCCTCCCTCCGCCACGACCTCCTTAAGCCCCTCGCTCACGTTGTAGATGTTCTCGTACCTCTGCCGGCTTGCGTCGCTGCGCTTCTTCTTCATTGTCGACTCCATCTGTTTGCCGCGGCGGCGGCGGCGGCGGCGGCGCGTGGCGTACCAAACGAAAAAACGTACACAGACGGTCTTGGTTTCTTACTGAAATACCGCTCATTTCGGCCTTGTCGGGGTACTCATTGGCCCTCCCGTGGTCACGCGAGAAAAACGAAGCCTTCCAATGACGACAATCGTGTAGACCATTCAGCATGTATATCGGCGAGCGTCGTATCGTGCCGTGCTCGCGTTCACGAGCGCCTACCCCCCGCCGCGAGGGTGGCTCGTGAGACCGCCGGCCAAAGACCAGCCGCGCCGCTGGAATGCTACACCGCGACAAATGCTGTTGCAGTACTCCACACAGCAGTCATCGGGCTTCATCGTTTCGGCGTGAAAAATTAGCGAGAAACGACATCATGGTGCAGGGGCGGAAATCCAAAAGCATCGGCATTCTCTACGCTTGCACCACGCACTACGGCGGGCGACGACCGCGGAAAGATGCGGTCGTCTTCTTCTTCAAACGAATAATCGGTGCTTCTGGCTTCTCAAGCTATAATAGTGACTGCAGCGCATCCATCCGTCCTATGGGGTAATGTAGCACGTGTTTCGGAGGGATGTGTTGAAGCACCGGCTGTTGGCACCGGGCGCTCCATGTACGGGATAAAACCACGATATTCTTATCCAATTTCATGTCAACTTGATTTCTTGTCGAAGTTTAGGGAAAATTACACACACACCGGCAAAGCAACGCAAAAGGGTTCTGACAACCTACGGATAGAGATGGATATATTGTGTTATACTACGAAAAAAAAGGGAGGGGGGGGTCACGACTCCCCAACGTCTGTCAAGGAAGATTTCCTCCTTCCTCCTCAAAGCCCGGCAGCTCACCGCTTCCTCGATGCGCTTCCGCATAGCTGGCGGAATGGTCTCGTCGATCGAGTCGCCGCCCATCGGGCCGGAGGCAGAGAAGCTTATCTCCCCCAGTGACGCCCCGTCTCCGCCGTCCCTGCCGTCGAACAGGTCTGCGTAATTGAGGAAGATCTGGCTGGCTATCTCTCTCCCAATGTCGTCTGTGATGTCCTCCTCCTCCTCGTCCTCATCATCGTCATCGTCATCAGACCCATCCAAGTCGATGTCGATGGGTCTGCCGTGGAGAAACAAGAAGGACGTTGGAGAAAAACGAGTGTTGTGCATGCAAGCATGGTGCATCCGTCAAGAGGATAGAAAGCCACAGATACGCGGAGGAAGCGCCAAACAAGTGCTGGAACACACGCCGAAAGTTTGAGTGCTAAAGTGGGAATTCGCACTAACTTAAAATAGGCAGAAATCTGACCGCACGGAGCACGAAAAGGTGCTGCCTTCGTCTCAACAGGTGATGTGCCGTCTTCACCAGAGAACTACCACTACTCTGTCCTGGCCCAAATTCCTCAAACGTACTTGTTTCCCTGATCAAACTCGACGTAAACAATGAAAGAGAGAGGTGGATCAACGCGTTTCTCTCTACAGGTCACGCAAAACTGTTGCATCCCCTCCCAAGAACAACGCCCTCTTCCCTGGAGACCCGGTGAGAAACCCTTCCATCCATGCCCAGCAAGAAACAACTCCAAGAACCATCCCACGTTTTTTTTTTCCTCCCATCATTGGACTCTGTCGTCTGCCCCTCTGGCCCCTATCCTCCACTCTTACTAGCTAAAGGACCCAACCGGGGTCACATAGGAGGGGGGGGCTGGACCCCCTCCTGCGGTTCCTGCCTGAGGTATTTTTATCGCGAAAAGGGTACAGCAATCCCTTCCCTCGCGACTTACGAAGTAGATTATGGTTTACTAACAACGAGCTTTGCAGCGCGTCGCTTTCATCCTAGACCAGGATTTATTTAGACTAGACCGGGCCCGTAGCAGGCTGCGAGGTTACCCACTAGACCACCGGCGCGACATGTATCCCTCAGAATCATCTCACCCAACCAAGCACCGACTGCATCCACCTAACGGATCGCTTACTCCCTTCAAATCTCCGCCCAACCACGACCTAAACTCATTTAATTTCTCCGTCTCCCACGCAAAAAACCACCGAGACCCGAGGCTCCTCCGATGTCTTCAAGAGACCCAACCAACTCACTTCATCTCCCCGTTAACCACGCTGAAGAGCTTCGCCGAAACCTCCGTCACTCCCCCGGTATTGTCCACCAAGCTCTGCAGGATCCCTCCGCCGCCCGGGAGCTCGCGAACGCCCTTGAGAGCCTGCTTGGCGCTGCGGCCGCCCTTGCCGGCGATGATGTCGCGGTCTGACGAGTGATGTCGGGTGAGCCGCCACCCGTTGCTGGTCTTGCGGAAGATGTTGGTCACCAGCTGCACCTGTTGCGATCATGTATTCAAGTATGTTTGTTAGGAGAGTATTCTCGAGAAATACTCTGCTGGTCTTGTGGAACACGTTGGTCACCAGCTGCACCTGTTGCATTAATGTTTTCAAGGGTTAGGCGGGTGTACGAAAAGTTATAATACTAGCATGTATTAGAAATACTCGCCCCTCGGTGAGGCCCTTTTGAGATACAATAATACAAGCGGGACTATGCACCCTGTATCCGCTGTGACTCTAATAAAAACCCGTTTGTGTTATCGTCCCGCCGTGTGAGGAAAACGAGTTCGCTTTCCACTCACCGTCTTGGGGTAGGACTTGTAAGGGCTCCTCATGTCCTCGATGCAAGTCACCCACGCAAGCGTGCCGCACGTCTGAACCTGAACATCCGAAACGCAACACACACACACGAAGAAAAAGGCGCAATACATAAAACAAAAAACACAAAAAATAACCCACACAAATTGTACACGCATGAATAAACTACAACTCCCTTGTGGTCTGGTCGACTTGCCCATATCCGCCAACATATGCGAGGCACACACAACAGTTGCTACGTGGATCGGATTGGCCAGACAGGCGAAGCAGGCCTACTACTCAAGAAGGCACCCCCCGGGACTGCTTCTCGACAGGATCACACGTGGAAGACGACTGCTGACCCAGAGCAGCGATTTGCGGAAATTGTGCAACATCGTTGCTTCTCGAAGAACGAAAATTGTCGAGAGGTCGGTACGTGCGCAGTAGTTGCCGTTTTGTTTTGGGGACATGAGACATGGCGTCTATTCTTGCAGGATCATGCTTGTCGGCCAAGACTCCTGCTGCAGCTACAATGGTCAATGGCAGCAGCAGGGTTTGGCAAGACGCCAGCTCGGACCGCAACACTTTTCGGGTCTTGTCTTGAGGCCGATAGCACGAGCGCATTCTCACGCGGCTCCAAAAGCAAGGCATGTCTAGAAAGGCACGTGCATACCTTCACGTTCTTGACCTTGAAGGGTCGTAGACCAGGCTTCTCCTGCTTCTGGGCTAGGACGAATTCTGTCTTGTATTCCTGCTCGAAAAATGCAGTACCGTACGACACGAAAGCGAAGGAAAGACTTTGAAATTCCCCAGCTCATGGGAAACGTTCGAAGCGACGTTAACATGACATGTCGCTCACGATCGTAAGTAGGAACACTTGGCATATACGCTCTTGCATGCACTCACTGGAAACAAACATGAGTCCAGCATGACCCGGGTGAGCGTGAGTCGTTAGATGACAGCAGACATGACCAAAAACAAAAAAAAATAGATCTACACATGCCAAGAATCAGAAAGAACCAAGGCACAAGCAGAACTCACTATTCCTTTTGAAGGCGAAAGAGGAGCGAAGCCAGTCGACAACAGAACAAGGTTGCTTACAACGTCTACGGCTAGGGCACCACACACGCACGGACACACATACATACCTCGATGATCTTGTCGTACCCCTTAAGGGGACTCCCTGCACTTCGAATGCACTCCGACAGGTCGCTCTTGTCCCACACTCTCTTCAGGTCTTCAATCTCCTGCGGTTGTAACATCGAGTAAACGCAAAAAGCCGATTAGCGTTGTAGCGGGTGTCGGGAATGCGACTGGGTGACCCTGTTTCTTGATGTCACGCCATAGATGTCGTGGCACCGTGCGTTGCGGGTGACTCGTTTCAACGAAAAAATTGGTGAGGTCACTTGTAACAACCAACGACGATGGTTGCTGCTGTCGTGAAACATGAAAATGGGCAGAAAAGCTCAACATCGTGCAACTGCCCGACGACAATCAGTGCCTTGACTACTCGTGCCCCCCCCCCACTCAAAGCTAGCAGCGGGGCAGCCTCAATGCTAGCGCGACCCCCCGCACCAACAGCAGCCCCCTTGCAAGCAACCGTTCCGCTGCCGTCAAAGCCAGCCCCATGGGTTCATCGCACCCTCTGCACGGCACGCCCGCGCCTTCTGAAGGCACGACGCTCAATATAAACCTGGTACCAAACCCTCGTGCAGCAAGCGATTGTTGATATCAGCTGCAAGGTGGTCGGTGCTGAGAGGACATCATGATGACACGCGGCTGTGACACAGCACGTACACCACAGTAACGACCAAGACGACAACACCACCGGGCACAGCAACAATGCCTAGCATCAACGAACCAAAGCATCACTGATCATCATCAGGTTAACTACAAATATCTGGGTAGGTTTCCTGTTTCCTGCGACCATGGAAGGCGTCCGCGTCAGTTGGACCGTTGCGGACATCGAAGCCATTTCCAAGTAGAGACCGGAACGGTTTTCTAATGTGAAGAAAACAACTGCGCCAGCACGCAAACATACCGTCTGGTGCACCATTGATAAAAAACTCGCCCCGCACGAGCAAACACACATAAATACATTCCACGACCACCTCTACCACGACTACAGACACGTGCCTACAACGCTGGACACAATAAGTTCCATGATCGACGCTTACCATCACTCAAGAGGCATGTCTACAACGCTGCTTGCATTGTACGCCCGTGATCGGATAAATTCCATGATCAACGCTTACCACCGCTTAAGACGCATGTCTACAACGCTGCTTACATTGTACGCCCGTGATCGGTAAAACAGTGTGTTCATTGCAAGCACCCTCTCCTCCTCCCGCTTCTCCCTGCGCATGAGCTCGTCCCGCAGGGCATCCCCCCGAAGCCGCGGAGCCCCCGCTTTCGACGACTTGCCGCCGCTCTTCTTTTTCCTCTTCTTCTTCGCCTTCTCGCCGCTGTCATCTCCGGAGATGCTGCTCGAGGCGGGAGGGTGGGGGGGGGG